ATGGGGACGACTGTGAGACGGGCGCTAATCTGAGTTCGGTATGAGGGTGGGTGGACAAATATATAACTGGCGATTTACGGCAAAATGGTGACATATCTAAGTGGACAAATATGGTAAATATTAATAGATAAATATTATTAAGGTACATATTAATAAGAATAGTACATCTGAGGACCCGGCATAAGTGTTTCCTAAAATCCGAGTTTTCGATCGAGGATTGGACCACTAATCCTTTTGAGGATTCGTATGGTACCCGCACAGGGTCAGAATGTAAATCTGAGGATTAAAATAAGTGATTACTCCGTTAAGTGTTTCATAAAATCGATTTTCATCGTGGCATTAGACCCTCTCGAATTTTAGGAGCTGTCTGAGGATTGGTCATTCTGGATAAGTGTTTCTTAGACTTTTACGACTCTCGCTTTACCAAAACCTCTGTTACCTTTCTGACACTTAACTATTCTCTATATCCGGATTTAGCACTCCCGATAGTTTGACAACACCTTAATCCACGCCTACGGTATTGTAGGGGCTTGTATTGTCCTTATTGGGCTAATCAGGCCTTTAATTTTACAAACCGTTGTGATGCCATAAATCGTTGTCCCTTTTACGTTGAAACGTTACGGCTGTAATCCTATAGCGTTGGCAGTCAGTCGGCACGGTATTTGGTTTGGAGTGCGCGAGAGATCGGTGTATAGTAGGTTGTCAAATAGGGCCAAAGGAAACTTGTTAGTTGTTGATGTGTCTAAGTTTCGGTTGAAGGTACCGTACGTCCAATACGGGCCACACCAGCAGATAACTGCCCTGCGTTATTTTTATACGCGGTAGTTTTCTACTCCTGCACAAGCAGTTTAATCTTTCTTCATGTAAGGTAGTTGTGCGTCTAACAAAAGTAAGTAGTACTCATCCCCTGACTTGGCCGCCATACCCGCAATAACTTTCACAAATTTCCGACCTTTATACGAGCAACCTATTATCAAACGTCCCACGAAATTAACGGAGGAAGCTAAATGGGACGGGATAAAGGTTTGCAATAGACCCGAGTCGAGAACAGGTATAGTAAGAAGAGATGAAAGAGTTGAGCAGGTTAATGTGATAAACACAGTAATTAGTAGGAGTCTCAGACGTTGGATATTGTGACATAGATAGTAGCGACTGAAGAAGACGATGATGAGCGTACATAAGGTCGTATATAAATAATTTACTGTATTGAAAGTGTTTGGAACTCATCTTATTATAGATGGTCATACAATACACAATGTAGAATGCAGTCGGAATGCGATAAGGATCGAAATATAGCGCAACTCAAATCCGAGACTCAAATCACTCCGTTACAGACCCTATCATAGTGGGGAACGCTGGTCGTATTGAGACTCTATAGTTGGGTATATGTAGCATGACTGGCGAAGATTTTGGGATCGTTGCTTGATAAGATTGATGTGTTAGTAACGTTAGACCGCGCGTGTCTGAGTCACAAGGGGTGATGAAATCACATAATGGGGTCTCAAATCAAGAATAGCTATACTCATTAAACGAGATGGCCGAAACACTTATTGAAATTCATTATATTGAGAGATGCATATATTATATAAATCGTACAACGAACATCGTACTCCACACCCTGCCCGTCTTCGTTTCTAATGCAAGGTCCGCAATAGCTTTGTCGTAAATAGAATTCAGCGCATAGTAAGATGCTCGCTACGAGGTTTGAGGTCGCAGAATATATTGTAAAATGCAATCCTACAAACACACACTTCTCACTCATATTCACGATACTTATGGGCGGGAATGTTATTCTATAGGACGGTTTTATCAAAGACGTTTGAACGACACAGTCAAATACGTATTTGATATGTTAAGCAGTGATACATGTTAATTGATCGATATCCTGTTATTCTAACTTGAGACTTAGACTCTACTAAAAGACTTGTGAACAACTAACTAAACACTATCAATTATGATTACTATTAATATATAGTCTATGATATTGGTTTATATGACATATAAATTGTGACAATACAATACAGATGCAATTATACGGATGGATTTATTAGTAAAAGAAATGACTCAATATAACACGACCAGCTGGTAGGGCCATTCCTCTGCTTACTTTCTTTACGTCTAGGTGTTTTTAGTCGAAACTGCCATTATTATGGATGTCCAAGATTATAAAATTATTGGATGTCCATATGTTGTAAGACACCGGTGTGGGACGTCTGAGAGTAGGGGGAGATAACAGGACATCATCCCCAGGTCTTCCTAGAACCTCCTCCGATGTTAGACCCCACAGAGCCAAGGGGTGGCCACCGGTGTGCCCACGTGTCTTCTGGTCCTGCAGGTAGGGAGAGGTAGTCGGCTTGGGTAGGGTCCTCACCGACGGAAGTGCGTACAACCTGTCCACGACGTCCGTCTGCCTGTCACGAGAGTTCCTGCAGGCTTTCGGTCGATGCTTTGTGTTTACTTCTGACTAATCTATTCTGGTTAGTTAGGGAAAGTGCCACTTCATAGAATTCGTCCCTACGGACATGATGCATCTATAGCTCACACCAGATTGGTCCCGAGTGCAGATCTGCCCGGCCGATAATACGATTACTCTTCCCTCCGAGACGTGGATTCTAGGTTACCTCTGGAAAGACGCATGTGTGGAAATAGTCGTATTGGTGTTCCCGAAATTTATCGTAACACACTAGCTAGTTCCGTGGATTGCCACTTGTATGTCGGTGTTTTATTTGTGTATGCATTGTTGCTGTGTGTACGCCTCTTTCTGTGTGTCTACATTTGCGTCTTGTCGTTGTGTGTACAGGTCGAAGTCACACATGCTGCCCTGTCGACCGCCGTGTCGTCCTTCCCCTGACCTCGGCACCTTCGAACGGTAGAGCCCAAACAACACAACGGAACACTCAACAACTTCGGTATTATTCACTCCATCTCGCCCCCCCGCATCTCTCTTCCAGGTTATGACCTAGCCTGAGTGAAGCGACTAGACCCCTAGACTGACGTCTGCCCAGGAGTCTCGGTACCTCCTCGACAACGCCTAGCAGCACGCTAAAACGGTAAGGGTACTGTCGTAAGTAGGAGCCGTCAACCGGGCCATCCATGCAAGACATGAGATGTTTTGTCTTGTTATTGGTTGAGACTACTTCCAGTCGTTCTGGCACTTTTGTTTGTCATCGTACCGGCTAAGTCTACGCTTACCAATAGAATGAGCACATCTAGTATTACTCTTAAGTACCACAAACTAAAACCACACCGTCTTTAATAGAGACGCCATAGAGATACCGACAACGTGTTACATAAACCAAAAATGTAAGTTTCAAAGTCAACTCAATTATCAAAATATATCTATCACAACCCCTTTATAAAAGGTCCGGGTATTTGAACGACTGTGGTCACCATAGTCAAGCACAGGACTGACTCGTGTGGTGTGACGACATTGGACCGACAGCACCGAGAGTCAAAGAAGAGGGACAAGGCGGACAACCTAAGTCGAACTATCTCCACAAATACTAGAATTAGAACAGATACGTCGTACAACCCTAAGTAAGCGACGACTTGAATCGATTTTATCGTACAACCAGACCATCTCAAGAAGTCTTAACTGCACCGTTGAGATGGACTTCAGTCTTGGAGACTGAGAACTGAACACAACAACCTCCCCGCGGCGCAGGCCTTCAGGTTATATTGGGGAATAGTCAACAGAAGGTAGTTTCGAGGATCAGAAGGGCAACAGAGGCAAACTCAGACCCACCTGAAGGAGGAAGCAACGAGGATGTCTGCAAAAGGGGGGCACTGTCTAGTAATAAGAATAGGCAGCATACGACTCTCCCCCGCACGCGCGGTAACGGTTCAGTCCCGAAGGAGACACTTGTTTAAAAGACAACGTGTCCACACATATGTAACACGGAAGGAGACTTTTCCGACGTAGTCAACTGACCCAGACTCAATAGCGAACCCGCCACCTCTCCACTAGTCTTCTGCAGCACGTCTAAAGCGTCCGCCACAACTTCCGAGCGAAACTCTTCAACGCTCTTACCAGTTCCAATACTAATGATTAGGAAAACATCAGAACAGAGGTGACAACTAATTTCGGGACATACAATCATAAACACAAGAACTAAAGAATATATAAAGTGACGAGCATATGAGAGACTCTTCACAGCCCACTTAGTGAAGAGACCTCTCCAGCAACAATCTGAGCACCAAAGAGCTCCACTGCACATCTCTATTGAACCACCACTTGCTAGCTCTCTTCTCTCCAGCTGCAAAGTTGTACAACCAAACGTGGTTGGACGTGTGAGTGTGGAGGGCCGGGAACACGAGACAACGGTGACGCCGCACATACTCGCTCGCAGGTCCTTAGTCCGGCGAAGACACCGTGTCACAACAGTGCGTCGTCTCGGCGGCCACGCTCTCCACTAGACCTCCTGTCTCTCCTACACTTACAATTTTTTTTTACTCAGGTATCCGAGGAGGACATGTGTCTGGCGTCACAGCGGATAATCCCATTGCCTAGCTTTAGTCCCCTCTGCGACGAAAATCTTTCGAGTGGTCCCTCTTTCTCTCCTACTTCGGTAGGAGGACGAACAGATAGTTTGCAGGATGAGAGGTGTCTTTGAAGATGTTGTGCGCCCTCTGCAAACACCGAATCCCCTGCATCCTGATACAGTAGTAGAAAATACAATACAACAATGATAAAGATTATCGACTTCATGCTATAACAATTAAGGTAAGGTATAACTCTTCTGTTATACCTTATTGTAACCTCTGACTCACTGAAATGTCTGCGGCCAATTTGCATTGTGGATAACATAGGTTCCAGGTTTTGACAAGGAAGAAGAATCTGTTGAGAAACCTTTTAAAGAAATATCTCTGATTGTGCTGCATTGTTCTACTGTCCATTGTGAGTCACAGTGTTGTAAAGGAGAGCAATGCTATATCAGAGGAGTATAGTTTTGTGTTGCTCTGTAATCTTATCACTTTACTGACTGGCGTGTCGTCCCCAGGGTTTCCAGGTGCTTGTAGAGACTGAGTGGCTGGACTACGGTCATAAGTTCGGGGATCGCTGCGGCCACCAGGAGAACGCAGATGACGTGAGCGAGCAGTGTCCCGTCTTCCTGCAGTGGCTGGACTCTGTCCACCAGCTGCTCAAACAGTTCCCCTGCCTGTTCGAGTTCAACGAGGCCTTCCTGGTGGGTGGTCCTACAGCAATCTTTACTCCACTCCATACATTGTTACATTTAGTTGGCAGATTGCTAACAACCACTAATAATGTAAATTGCCGCTAAAGGTCTGACTTATCTTCCACATGTGTTCAGGTCAAGCTGGTGCAGCATACATACTCGTGTCTGTACGGAACCTTCCTGTGCAACAACGCTCGTGAGAGGGAGGCGAGGAATATCTACAAACGCACCTGCTCCGTCTGGTCCCTGCTTCGCAATGGAAACAAGAACTTCCAGAACTTCCTCTACATCCCAAGTCATGATATGGTACCTATCCAGTTTTGCAAACCTGCACCAGATGAGCCTAACAGCAGAATCGACCCGTTTCCCACAAATTCCCAGTCAAATCTGAATGCGACCTGCCCCTTTTAATACAAGACACGGATTAAACACACTAGCTTCCAAGCCGCCACTCACTTTAAAGGGCTTTATTTTCTCTCTGGTTTAAACTGGGTTCTTCATCCTTGAATCACAAATCCACCTGAGGAAATGTCTCGATCACTGGCTGTCAGTGACAGGCTTTCACAGTCAAATAAAACATTCGGTGGCTAATCAGACTTTATACTATTAGTTTATTTAATATTTAATACTGCAAAATCATTTTTGGTTTCTCCATAAAAAACATATTTTTGTTCGAAACTGGTCCCCACTCACATACGGTTTATTTCTACCGTTTCTTAACCGTCATGAAAAATATATTTTTTACATGTTGCCAAACCTTTTTGTAGGTACCAACCCGGTGCAGGACCTGTAGTGTGTGATTAATGACTAATGCATAGTATCTACACATTTTTACTTTGATCCTAAAATGTTATTTTTCAAAAAGTATTTAAAGTATGACTCCATCTTGATACCGTTTGAGTGATCTCTTTGAATCGTTTAGACATGTTCATAATGTATCACTCACAGCAGTTTTAGGACATCACTGGCAGAGTAACAGGCTCATAATTACTTTGCGGTGACCTTCTGCGATGTCCTTGTCTGGCAGGTGCTGCAGCCAGTCTGCCACACACGAGCGTTGCAGCTGTGGACCGCCGTCTACCTGCCGACCTCCTCCCCCTGCACCGCTGTGGATGACTCCATGGAGCTCTACCTCCCCCCGAGTGTCACCGGAGACGAACTCACCTCCCGCTCCCTGGACAGGTGTGTTTGTTTGATGCATATCTGAGCTGTCAGCACTAAGTGTTCTCATAGAGATTCTCATGAATTCTAATTTCCCTCGTGTTACAGAGAGCCACACTGCCCTCTAGGGTCTCAAAAAGACAATTTTACCATTGCCATTTCTTCACCTGTGAGGAAAACTAAACCCTATGTGTATTTCTGATTTCCAGACTTCCTAAGACCCGCTCCATGGACAACTTGCTTTCAGCTTTTGAGAACGGGGTGCCCCTGACTCGCACTTCCAGCGACCCAAATCTCAATAAACACTGCCAGGAGGGTCGCTCTGCCCCCGAGCCCCCCCCGGCCTCAGAGGAAACCTCTGCAGAGATCTCTGACGAGGCCTCAGCTGACACTATACCGGACAGCAGTGAGGGGCAACCTCCACTCCAGAGTCATGCGAAGACCTCAGAGGGTGTCCCAGCTTCAGAAAGCTGTGAGGACGCTACCGAGGAGCCATGTCTCACCACGCAGCCCCTCCCCTCTCCGCCTCTCCCCCCGGTCCCTATCAGTAAAGAAGTCATGCTTGCAGACACTCCCTTCCCCTCACCTGTCCTTCAACAGGCTTTGCCTCAAATCACAAACCCGCTACCCCCGCCTCCCCCGATGGAGCCCGAGAGCCCCTGTAGGACTGTTGAGAGCCCCCCTTCGCCCTCTCATAAATCTAAACCGTGCTTACCTCTCCCCTGCAACGGCACAGAGCTTTCCGCCCCCGTACCCTCCTCGCTGCCTGACGACCACGCTGAGGGGCATGGAGACGTCCTCCCAGAATCTGCAGACCTGCTGCATCTACAGCAGCTAACATCACTCCCCATGGAGGACTCTACAGAGACTCTCACAGACGAGGGAGAGCTTCCCCCCACCCTGCCCCCCGCGGAGAGCAAGGGTCTCCCCCAGGATACTTTTAGCCACAAGGTGCAGAATGAGGAGCAGCCTGAGGAGAAGCAAGAAGAAGTGAGGACGGTTGAGATTAGAGGAGCAGAGCGCGAGCTAACCGTTGCAGTGAGTCCTGTGGACTGCGCCCAGGCAGCCGCTCGTCACCTGATCTCCCAGAGCCAGCTCTCAGATCTGTCGCTGCTGGGCTCCCACTGGGAGAGCGTGCAGGGCCTGGTGCAGTCGGCCTGCAGCAGCGCCTCTCACTCCGGGGTGGGCCGGGCCCTGCAGCATAACGCTTACCAGAGCCGCCGGCTGGCCAGCAAGCTGCTGCGCTCCCAGGGCTTCGCCATGGCCAACGGGTCCCCGTGCTGCCGCAGGGAGGCTCTGTGTCACCCCAGCCCCCCCCTGCCGACCGGGTGGCTGTCTGCTGCCAGGAGTGCGGGCTACAGCGGCCTCTACGCCCCCGCTGCCGCCGCCCTCAACAGCTACTCCCTGGCAGGCCATCAGCTCCTTCCAGTGGCGTACTCCTCGCCCTCTGCTTCCAACTCCCCCCCCCCGCCCCAGGCGCCGGCCTACCTGGACGACGACGGGCTGCCGGTGCCCCTGGACGCCGTGCAGCAGCGGCTGCGGCAGATAGAGGCGGGATACAAGCAGGAGGTGGAGGTGCTGAGGCTGCAGGTGAGGCAGCTGCAGATGAGGCTGGAGAGCAAACAGTACAGCACCCCCCCCTCGGAGCCAGACGTCGACTACGAAGATGACATTGTGAGTTTTCAAAGCTGACGATAACACCCGACAGCCCAGTGCTATAAGCTGCCTTCTGTCTGCAGCATTTGTAAATGTTTACTTTTGATAATCCTCTGGAAGTGTCTTCTCTCACTCCTGTCTGTTTTCTGATTCTCTCTCTGTTTGCAGACGTGTCTGCGGGAGTCCGACAACAGCAATGAAGAGGACTCGTTGTCAACACACAGCGAGGACCGCCTGTCTGAGGGCAGCTGGGACCGAGTGGACAGCAAGGACACAGAGGTCAGCATCCTTCTTGTGCCTCATCGTTTAACATAACTTTCTCTTCTTCCTTCCTTACCCTCACCTGTAAGGCTAGCACCACCTCTTATTACTTTTTTTCATTTCAAACCTTTATTTAACCAGGTGAATCCCATTGAGATCATTGATCTCTTTTTCAAGGGAGACCTGCAGCAAGTAGGTTCCACATGAAAAAGAAAAACTAAAAGGACATGATATAACCCTGACAGGGTTACAATTTACAAACCTATCGACATTTACAGGTACCAACGAGATTGTATAGCATCTATCCAAGCTTTAAAAACATTTAGTGGAACCAAATTGCTCAGTTTCCATTCTTTTTGCAGACTGTTCCAAGTTAAAGGAGCTGCGCAAATAAAAGCCATCTTACCTAAGTTAGTCCTAGTAACAAAACCACATCATGAGATCTCAGGTAATAGCTACATTCAATTCTCCGTGTGATCAGAGAGCAGATATAAGCGGGTAGTTTATCCAACATGGCTTTGTAGATGAACATGTACCAATGACTGAGCCTCCGTACAGTAAGTGAAGGCAGACCTGCCCTGGCATACAGGGTACAGTGATGAGTTAGTACTTTACAGTTAGTAACAAATCTCAGGGCACTGTGATAGGCGGCATCTAACTTGTTCAGGTAATGGGCAGGTGCATTCATATAGATTAGATCACCATAGTCCAGCACAGGTAAAAAGGTCACAGTGCCTTTTCCTGGCCTCAAGTGAGAAACAGGACTTGTTTCTGAAAAAGAAACCTAGCTTCACCCTTAGCTTTCTAAGTAGATTATTGACCTGAAGTTTAAAAGAGAAACAATCATGAAGCCAGATACCAAGGTATTTATAACAGGTAACCACCTCGAGTACTTTTCCTTGCGTAGTAACAATATCCAAAGTGGTCTCCGGTGTCTTTTTGGCTTTTCAAAATAGCATCACCTTAGTTTTATCAACATTTATAAGAAGCTTAAGCTCAGAGAGCTGCGTCTGGATAATATTAAAAACAGCCTGTAATTTAACAACCGCCTCCTTAATGGAGGGACCTGCCACAATGCATCACGGTATCGTCTGCTAAAAATGTTACAGTTGCTTCATCCACATTTTGACCTAAACTGTTGATATAAATGGAGAATATAATGGACCTAAACAGGAACTTTGGGGAAACACCATTTGTAATGTATAAGCACTCACGTTAACCCATTACTGCACACTGTTCTGATACAATGTTTGGTGTGTGTGTGTGTGTGTGTTGTGTGTGTAGGTCACAAGGTGGGGTGCCTGACCACATGGGAGCCTTCCCTTGTTCTCAACTGTGA